CAGCAGGAAGTAGACTGAACATTCAGAATCAGTTTGGTGTTTTGGCTGCAGAGTGGGGACTGGAGGTGGCTCTAGTTGTCCAGGGGAGGGATGATGGGGGCTTGTGCAAGGGTGGTGGCTGCAGGGCTGGATAGAACATTCAGATTTGAAACGTATTTAGGAGGTAAGGCAGTTCTTGGTGGTGATGAGGGAGAGAGAGTCAAGGGCAGGAAGAGGGAAGCCAAAGAAAATGGCATTTCAAAGGAGTGGTTAGCAGTGCGGCTGCTGTGACGTGGTCAAGGAGATGCAGACTGAGATGCGTCTGTAGGATTTGGTCACAAGGAAGTACTCTCAGGGCAGTGGGGGTGGAAGCAGACTTGAGTGGGTTGAGGGAAGAGTGGGGGATGAGGAAGTAGCACAGCAAGGAAACATAACTCCTCTGAGACTCACCCTGGGAGAGTCAAGGGAGGGTTCTTGTCATTTTCAAGATGGCTAAGACTTTACCTCATTTAATGCTGATGGGAAGGGGCCCTTGGAGAGGCAGAGGTCTGCCACAGAAGAGGAAGAGGAAACTGATTGACAAGCATCCCTGAGAAGGAGCATGGTAGGACCCAGAGCTGGGTGGAGGAATGAGCCTTGAGTGTCCCAATCACCTCTATCTCCCCAGCAGAGAAGACAGCTTCTGGCACAAAGAGGCGCTACAATCAATCAGCCGACTGAGTGATGGAAAGATTCAAGCCTCTCATTTAAGACCCACAAGATCTCAGGTTCAATTTCCATCATCCCCTAAAATCAGCCCATGCTCCAGGGATTGGGGACTCCTTTCTGGTCTCCAAAGCTGCCTCACACTTTCCCACAGGGTCTTTGCTCGGACTGTTCCTTCTGCTGGGTATGCTTGCTCTCTGCTCGTCTTGGACAGACTTTCACTCCGCCTTCCAGCCCAGGGCCCCTTCCACTGCGGAATCTTCTCTGAAACTCCCTCTTGCCACATCTAAAACCACATAACCCTTCTACCCTAAATGTCTATCTTCCCTGTCCTTCCCCTCCAATCAGATTGTAACCATCTCGAGGGAAGCTTTGAGGGTATACTTAATTCATATTTCAAATGAAAACATCTGACTATGAAGCAGTGATGCCTCATATAACACTTGTATAAAATAGTATCTTATATAACTGTGTCCCCAGTAATGCCTTCACGGTGTCATGTATTTAGTAGGGACACAAAAATATTTTTGAATGCATGGAATATTTTCTTGACCTCAAGAATATTTTCTCCTGTAAGAATATGATAGTGATAGTCTCCATCTACACATTAATTTTTAAAATTAATTTAAATGTGGTTCTTCTATATTTATAACACGAAAACGGTGTCTGTTTTCATCTGTGAACAAAGTCTGTCTTTTCAGGTTTATTCCATCTCTACTTGAGAAACAAATGCATGCCTCGTGAGCAAATCAAGGTAGTGACTGTATTTGCCAGTGTACCAGACACACCACTGCTAAGGGAAAAGGAATTTCTCAAGGAGCTGACAATTGCCAACGCGTTCAGCGACGACGTTTGCCTCTTGGGCTTCTGAACAAGACCACAAATGTGAAGACGTGAAATCTATGAAGCACAAGACTAAGGGGGAAACTGTATTGCTATTCACAGCTATTAGTTTATTTTCCATGCTAACAGTTCATGACTGTTTTTAGCTCAGAAAATAGAATCATTGGGATTCTCAAAAAATACTAGCAAAATGTAAATCCATCAAGATAGAAGATTGGTGGTTGCCAGGGACTGGGGTCGGGAAGGGACTGTTTAATGGGTCAGGGTTTCTTTTTGGGGTGACAAAAATATTTTGGAACTAGGTAGAGGTGGTAGCAGTACAACATTGTGACTATATAGTACTAAGTGTCACTGAATTGTTCATTTTCAAATGGTTGCTTTTATGTTATGTGAATTTCACCTCAGTAAAAAAAGTACATACCACCCAAATAACACGAGACAGTTTCTAAATGTTCTACCGGACCAAGCAGTGGTATATTCTAGAACGGCTCCAGATTTAAGGGTGCACTGTACCCTATACTTTGCCTTTGGATAAAGAATGGGGTCCCTCTGTATAAGTAGGGCCATGTCCTCAAAGTGTCCTCAGAGACACTCAGCCGAGCACTATTACAAACCAAGCCAAATATTGCTGAGTATTTATATTTTGGTTTGTTTCTCCTTTGGCTGATACAAGCACTTGGGAAGATGTTTAGTTTGATTAAGGACTCTCTAGTTCCAGAGGTGGAGCCTGAAGCAGGTTTTCATTATTTTCCTTTAAAAAAGTGGAACTTTCCAGAGACAACAACTGGCAGACTGTGGACAGAGCCCCACAGCTTCGCTGGACATCTGTCCACCAGGGCCCTGTGGTGAGGCAGCGGGAGGCTCCTGCCGGCAGAGTCATGGGCTACAGTTCTCCACGCCGGGCAGGTTGGGCAAAGGCTGACAGTAAAGAGGGTGCATGGACTTGTCCTAATAGTTCACAGCTTCTCGGAAAACAGTCCTTTTGTTGTCTTGTCAGGGGAGGAACAGACTGTCAGCGAGAGCAAGGGCAGGTGTAAGAACAGCGTCCAGATCAGGTGCGTGTCTGGCCCGGAGGGGAGGCCATCAGCCCCTCTCCTTGCTGGGGCCCACTGCACGTGGGCCTGGCAGGGCCCTGGGCCAGCATGGGCTGGGCTGCCCACGTACAGGCACCTCATCCGCCCTCTAAACACATGGGGCCCAAAGGGAAATCACACCCTACCACTTCAAACGTGGACTCTGGAGCCCAGGGCCCAATAGCTGTACTATAATCAAGCTGCATCAGCCAACTTTACCACCAAGGTCTGTGGGGTTGAACCATTTAAGTTTTTCCTTATTTTAGTACTTCTCACATGCCTTCACATACACTGTCTCATGAGGTAGCCCCAGAGACAAATGCTGCTGAATGTCTTGGAAAATACTGGCTCCAGAGGAGACCCCTTTTTCCCTTCCACGGTGGCCATCCAATGAGCAAAGAAAGCCTGGTGACAAAGCTGTGCTCACTTGGAGAGCCCTAGATCCGGCAAAAAGCGATAGTCCTAGGAATCCCTGGCCATACCTCTTTCCTGAGGGGAAGGACTTTGCTTAATCCCTAGAACTCCAACTTTATATAATCAATGGAGTTGGCCACCAACCCAGGTCCCTGGGCAGCACCAAGCTAGCCCAGACTCAGAGGTGACTGCAAAATTCCCTGACGGACCCTGTTAGATTTGGGAACCCGACAGAGGTAGCCCCTTATTGTTTTTCTCAAGAAAAGACTGTCTGGATGCTTTTAAGGCACTTAGAGCTGCACAAAGCAGCAGGACTGCTTAGGACTCCATCTAGTAAGTGCCCAGCAATCACTGACATCCCTAATTGCCATAGGGGATGGGGTGGTGGTTGGGGGAGAGGTGGAAATTTTAACAGATGAAGCAGATTTCCAAGTGTTATTGCTATGGGAGCGCCTAGGCATGAGAGGCACTCATAGGTACCTGGCCCAGGCTTCTCTGGAGCACATAACTGCCCGGCCTACAGAAGCGGAAGTGAACATTACAGAGCATCTGCCTCCCTGGCTCTGACACCACAAGGAGACACATCGGTTCCTCAGGAAAGCACAGGTACTGCTGTGATGCCCCAGACTCTTTCTGTGTTGTCTGCTCAGGCAGAAGAGGTCACTAGGAGGCTGGGTGTTACGACTTCAGAGGGCCACATTCCCCAAAGGACAGATGCACCTCCCTACTGTTTACACTGCAAAGAAAGCACTGAGAACAATGTTTCCCATTTCCCCAGGGTTTCCTGGTCTACAGGACAGTGGGACTGGCCGAGATTTCTATTCTGCACCTAACAACCTGTGTCTATTCAAAAAGGAAATCCAAGAATGCGATCATTCCACTTATTGGCACACCTCGGTTGTTTTCAGGGCTCTTTCCTGCTCATGATCTCATTTGTTCACCTGGACAATCCGAGGGATACTTTTAATTGGTTCTTTGAAGATTCTTGGGTTTCCAGAGACAACCTGTTCAAACAAAACACCCCCAGAAGGGACAGCACCTTGAACTTCTATTAGGTTACACCTTGGCGGTAGTTAGCAACTAGCTGAGAATCAGGCCCAGAGAAGCCGGAAACCGGATTGGGAGGAGTTGGAGGATGGTCAAGAGGAAAAAGCAGCACAAGAAAGGAGATGGGGGCGCGCTAAGCCCCTCCCAGCAGTTCACCTCACGGTTTTGCAGAAAGAGGTTCCAAGTGAGCCATTCCCTGCTTCCCTCACCCACCAGAGACACCAACTCCACCCACAAAGCCAGTCAGAAAAGACTAGAAGGAAAAGAGAAGCAACAGGAGAGATGAGAAGATGGAATAAACCAACCATCAGAGGCTCTTCAATCTTAATTCATTTTATTCTACAAAATGCTACTCAATTGAAAGTGAAAAAGCTAACCGAAAAAAAAAAAAAAAAAAAACACAAAGGGGAAAAAAAAGTTTTCATGTTCTTTCTTCCATAGCAGCAAACTTTTTCTAACAAGCTTCTTTAGTGCAAATACTGTAGGCTTGTATTACAGTAAAATAACAAAACGAGAACAAAAACACCAGCGATGCCTCAGAGCAGAGATACTCCTCAATTTTCAAAATCATACAAAGATTTTTTTGAGCTCACGGTCCTGCCTGGAGAGGCCTATTTAGAAGCCTCTCCAATGGGACCATTTCACCAAAACTTTAAAAAAAGAAGAAGAAGAAAAAAAAAAGATGTTCAGGAAGGTAATTAAATTCCCCATAGGGCTCTAGGAGTCTTGTACAAGTTGTTTGCCTCCATGATCTTATAGCAGACTTTACACCACATTATTGACACATCTCAAATACAGATGCACAAAGCTTATGATTTTCCACTATATACCAAAATACTATATATACACCTCCCACTGCAGAAAAAGATACCCTGATACCTACTCTTTATACAAAGGTGAATATTTTCTTCCTTGACATCAAGTAACCACAAACTAAAATAACTGGAATAAACTTTTAATCATACAGAGAGAATAATTTTTAAGGAACAGCGCAGGACTTTTTGTTTTCTCTTACGACGTAGACTTCTTGGTGACCACTGTCCCCGGAGGAATGACAATCCATCTTTACGAACAGAACCTTTCTATACGTTTTATACAGCACAAGTCACACATCATTTTAGGTACGACAACAACAACAATAACAAAAAAGCATCTTTAGCCTAAAGTTTTTAAAAATAAGAAAGAGAGGGAGAGAGGAACTGAGTACTTTAATGCTATCTGTTTCCATTTAGGCTTGGTACAACACAAAGATGTAAACATTTAAAATAAATAATAAAATAAATGTCAATTTCTTCTCCCCCTCCCCTTTCCAGACCCACCTCAAAATTTGGCCCGGCCCCTCCTGAACACGTCAGCATTGGAACATTAAAACCCTTTGTTGATGTACAGCCAAAATACTAGAAGCATGAGAGGATGTCGGATTGGCAGTGGGATGACTGGATTTCCTTTTTAAAAGCTGCAGGAGGACATGGGCACACCTGGAAATGTACACACACATGCTCACACACACGTACACACACACACACACACACACCCCAACCTGTCAATAAATAGTGAGATGCTGGCTTTTAAGATGAATGCCAAGACGACACAATGAGCTGAAAGTAGCAAGACCCCTTTACTTACATTTTTAAAAGAAAGTTACACATACCACTTATCCTATTGGTCCACAAATTCTGTAAGGACTCAAGTTACTCCTCCCACCATTTGAGGAGTGCAAAGGAGCACATCACCAGGTAGAGAGAAAAGAAGAAATTTAGAGGCGAGAGGATGTTGTAAGGGATGATGAGTCTTTGAGAACCTCACGCTGAAGACGATCTTGTCTCGGATTTTTGAAGACCTTCTCACCTCTAAGTTTTGGTTCTTCCATTTCTTGGGGGCCTTTAATAAGGGATGCCCTCATCTCTTCGTCTCATCCTAAAGAGGGTATATATAAAAGTGCCTAACACAGTGCCTGGCACATAGTAGGTGCTTAGTCTTTTCTTTCTTAAAGGGGCCACACAGATATCTGATCAGGAAGCAAATTGACCTGAAAGTTAAATGGTGAGATTGCAAGGAGCACTGTTGGTCCATCAAGGACAGGGTAGGAAAGTCCCAACGCCTATGAGGTTGAAACCACCCTTACACTTGGAGCCAAGTGGGAGCAGAGAGGAAACTCCTTTTCCCAAAGCCTGAGAAAGAAAAGCAGCAGCCTCTGATGGCTTTTGGCTTTGAGATGCTGTGTGACGGGCCACAGTGGACACACCTGGCCTTTTACACAGGCAGAACAATGATTTCCTTCTGAAAACCTCCCCAGTGAATTCTCTGCTTAGAGCTGGCTCCAGTAATTTCCGAAGCTTCACCTGGGACCTCCTCTTTCCTGTGTCAGCAGCTGTCCCCAACCACACAGCCAGGAAGAGGACTGTTCCCAGAGAGACCAGCCAGGTGGCTAAGAAGACTATGTGTTTCACACTAGCTTGTCAAAGGAGTGCCTGCCCTATGGTGTCCCAGAGCTGCCTGCAGCCCAACTGGAGTCCACACCAGCTGCCTCATGGCTGGGGACACAGGAGAAGCACAGCAGCTCCCAGCCCAAGCACAAAGGCCACCCCCACCCACACCCCTGCAGCTGTTCCCTTAGCTGGAGCCACAGAGAAGGAAGCAGTAGGCCTGGTGCCTGGTGATTCTGCAGCAAGGGAGTGTGTGTGCATGAGCTTGGAGAACAAGCCAGAAGGAAGTAACTGAGGATATGCTCATGACTTAGGTGTAATAGTCAGCCTTCCCCAACTAACCTCCAAACCCCCTCCTAGAACAAAGCCAGAGGGTCCTGAACAGGAATGCAGCTCGGAGGCCTCTAAAGTCCTGTGGGGTGGCTGGGTTTTTGCTTTACGCTGTTCTCAAAGCCAACGCAACTTGAAATCTGAACTAAAGCCAAACTCTGTCTCAGGAACGTCCAGCCTGGCCCCAAGTCGCAGATTGTGACTTGCCTTGGGATCAGTGCTGTGCAAACCAGGGCATAAAGGGACTTTTAGAAGTTAAACACCAGAAAGCAGCTTCATTTAAGAAATATACACACACACACACACACACACACATATGTATATATGTGTGTATATACGCATGTATGTGCGTGTGTATATATGTGTGTGTGTGTGTGTATATACATATATATGCACAAAGAAGCAAATAGCTCCCACTTGGCCACAAATACCACTTGAGATGATTAAGCTTTTCAGAGCTGAGCGCACCCCAGTTTTCTGTGCCCATGTCCTGCTGCTCCAGCTGACTTCTGCTTCTTTGATTAATCTGAAGCCAGAAACCCAATTGCCCAGTCTCATTAGGCCCGCCTCTCCCAGAACCATGAAAACCCTGAGGGCAGCATCACAGCCCAGGAATGTAAGAAACAATGTTTTAAAACTATTTTTGGACAAAATCCTTTTTCTTTCCATCTCCTCTGTGTGGCCTGTCCTTCCACACGTCTCTTCCAGTCGTAGCAGGCTACGTACTTGAAGCATAAGCCATTCCATTCTGCGTGTCTAGTGCATGGGAAGTAGGTAATGGACATTAAATAATGACCAGCACAGAGGCCTAGGTGTGTGAAAGGAAGAGGTGAGCGTGAAGTGTCACTGCTCGCTTCCCCAGTCTAACTGAAATTTAACCCCCGCTGGGCTTGATTTAAATAACAGCGATATAGTTTTAAATTATCATACAATAATCTCTAGAGCTGAATCACACTGCCAGGTCTCCCTCAGAGCATCAGTCCACAGAGACCAATCCTGGAAGATCAGGGGAGCCATGCCCTGGGGAGAAAGAGGATCAGAGGGGTGGGCGGCGGGGGCCGCACTGAGCTATGCTGAGCTATGCTCTTGCAGGGCCAGGAGGGTCCCTTACTCACTCACCCTCAGCCTGTGGGAAGGGGGCAGCTCTCCTGCGGTGGAAAGCAACACATCTCCTACGTCAGCGGCCCCAGGAATGGAGAATAAGCCACAAGTCATAGCAACAGCCCGGGGCCAGCTATGGGACCTGAGGAGCACACTCAGGTGAGAGGTTGGAGGAGCACAAAGAGAAGTACTTGATCCAGCAGGTGACAATGGGCACTTCAGAGAGGTGAACAGCTAGAACAGGGCCAGCTAGGTGCCAGGGCTGGCGTGAGGCGAATCCTACTCCGATGGCCTCCCTCTCCCCTCCCCTGCTTTTCCATCCACAGCAAAGGTGCCTTTGAGGCTTGAGGAGGGGCCACCTGGTAGCAATCTGGGGAGGGTCCAGGCCCACGCTCATTAAAACTCTGTGGGTGGCGTCGCCCTGAAAGCCAGGGTGGGGGAGGGCGGAGCTGGTAGGGACAAGGAGTGATGTGTGGTTCCTAGGGAGGGACACCTCCCTGGTCGGGACAGAAGGGTCCAGGGGCAGCATGGCCAGGCAGTAATTACAGGAGATGTCCTGCTCAAGACACCAGGTGAAGGAAAGTCGGCTAGGATACCATGTGGCTTGGTTGGCACTATTCCTGGCCTGGTAATTAGACGTTTGGCAAACCCAATCTGTGCCCCGGCTGTCTCACTCACACCCTTTCTTCTGGCCAAGCCGCTCCTCCAAGAGCCGTCTCCAAGGAAGGGGAGAAAGGGTCCTCTGAGCCTCTCGGTGCTGGTGGCATCTCTTTGAGAGCTCAGGGAGCTCTGCTGGTGGATCTGGAGATGGAAGTGGACCAGGGAGTGTCGGGGAGGGAAGGCTCTGTATTGCACACTGACTGTCTCCTGGACAAGTCGGCCCAGCAGAGGAGCTGCCTGCTGCCCAGCTCCAGAAATGAAGAGCTTCACTATTCAGACCACCCAGATGAAATGTCATGGCAAATTTGATAAAAACCGAGAGGAAGTAGAATTGACACTGGGGGAAGGAAGGGGCAAATAGAGGGAAGGTGAAACCAAAAGGCACTGAGCACGCTTGGTGGGGAGGGGAAGGACACCATCACTCCAGAGACATTTTGTAACATGGGGACTGGAATGGTCCACCCAGCTTCAGGCTCTTCAGAAGCCAGAGAGATGCCCGAGTCCACTAAACCAAGTTCTCCAAGGCTTTTCAAGAAACAGGATTTGCTCTGCAGGATAAATGAGGGAGGAGGTCCCATGACTTCCAAGAGATCATCCACGTCCTCCAGTGCCTCACTGCTGCATCCCACCTAGGTCCCCCTAAAGCCAGGGAGCTCTCTGACAGGGTCCCCCTCTTGCTCTCACAACACTGGAGCGCTTGAAGGTGCTGGTCCCTGGGAAGGAGGCAGTGACGAGGACTCCCTAGGAGCTGGGTTACAGAGCCAGCAGAGTCGGGGAGTTCAAGGAGTCTGATGACTGGTCCCCACTGCTACTGCTTCTGCGGTGAGCCTTGGAGCAGGACTCGGAGGGCGACGCAGGTGATTCCTGCTCCAGGACGCTGGGGTAGGTGAAGACGAGGTTCGAGGTGCCCGGAGTGATGGCAGGCGTGGAGGTCACCACGATGGGGGTGTGCAGGGGCTCTTCCCCGTAGAAGCCCCCGGCGATGCTGATGGGCTTGATGACAGAGCGCTGGGCCTTGTCCAGCCCCGCCGATGAGGACGAGGGACTGTCCTCTTCCAGGGGTTCCTGTTTCACCACCACGGCACCCACTCCGCCACCCCCACTGCGCAGGGTCTGCAGCCCGGAAGCCGGGGGTGATCGGCGCTCTTCGGGGCTGATCTTGCACACGGGCCCGTGGGCCACCAGCATGAACTCCAGCTTCTCCTTCTCCTTCTGCAGCTCGGCGATCTCCTTCTGCAGATCTGACTTTTCCTGCTCCAGGTCCTCCGTTTCCTACAGGAGAAAGAGAGCCTTGTAAGGAACAGCAGCCTGCCAGGGACCTACTTGGAGGGTATGGGGGCTGGTTCAAATCGAGGGGAAAAAGGGAAAACCAGCAACATCCTCAGAAGGTTGACCGTGCAAGCAGCCAGCTCACATCTCCGGCCGCAGCCCCACGGGTTCTGAGTCACCTGGAGGCTCAAGATTCCTTTTATTTCCAATACTCAGATTGAGGAAGGAAGCAAGTCGGCTTGAAGGCAAAATATCGACTATCGCTGCCATGATCGTGCATTCATTTTGTGCGCTGTTAAGCATGTCATAGGCATCATCTCATTCAATCTTCTAGCAGTTTTTTGAAGCAGGTATTTGCAGACAAGGAAACTGAGGTTGGGAGAGGTATAGTAATTTGCCCAAAGTCACAGAGCCAGCAGGTAGGGTAGCCCGGATCTGACCCCGGCGTCCATACGCTACTATGCGTTACTGCCTTGGTGCCAGGACCTCCCCCTGGGGACAGAGCGGGTAATCGTGAAATTTGGAGAGGGAGGAAAGGGCGCGCAGCATGCAGCTCCATCCTGCTCTCCTTCTCGTGGCTCAACTCCACCCAGCCTGCCTGTGGACACATACACACTGAACTCCAGCTACGCGACAGTGGACACTGTCTAGACACCCAAGCCTAGGCCAGAGCCTGGCTTGCAGGAAGAGTTCAATCGCTCCTGGTTGGATCATCCCAGCCCCACTTCCCGTTTTTGCTCTAACTGCAGAAGCACGTGTTTTGGGTCTCCCAGAACCCTGGAGAACATCCAGTCCCGCCCCTGTGCTTAACGGACTCGGAACCTGGCAGGCGGAGTGGGCACGTAAGGATGACGGGTGTCTCACTGCAAGGACTTCGGCCCCTCCTTTACACAGCTAGAGAAGCAGCAAATGCACGTGGAGAGGGTAGTCATGGAACACGAGAAGGTGTGTGTCACCGGCCTCCTCCCCACTTTTTCCCTAACACAGGTTCCTGTTCAAGAATAAGATGGTACGGGGCCAGGGCTTCGCTACACGGAGCACTCAGCATATTCTGGAGTAAAAAAAAGTTTCCATCTGTCTCTAGGGTCTGATAAACGTCATGAGCTTATGAGAGGTTTCCTGTGGAGGATGTGGCTCAGGGGCCTGGTGGCTGGGCTTGGGGTGGGGTGGGGAGGCGGGGGAGTAGGGTGTGAGGCTTCTGGGGAAGGAGGGAAGGAAAGCAGAGGGGCCTCAGAGGGCGGGGCTATTCTGGGGCTGAGAGTAAGGAGAGCCCAGGGTAGACTCAGAGGGCCTGGCTCCTCGAAAGGTTGGCAGTGAGGAGGGCTCTCCTGGGGGAATCTTCCCATGGAGGACTGGTCACTAATGGATCCCTCACCTGGCAACAGAGAACTCCAACTCATCTTCCCCAGCCTTAACTAAGACCTCCATGGGACATTAGTACAGGCTTCACAGAATTCGTGCAGCACACATTCAGTACCCAAGAGCGAGGGCTCCAGAATGGACAAAGGGAAGCTGAAGCAGGTGAATGGTACCGGGGAGAAGTATATTTCTTACATTCCTGGGATGTGCAAGGTAATCTGTGATCTCCAAAGCCCCATCCTGGGTGGTCACCGTAAGGACCACCAACAGTCTCCCTCATCTCCTCACTCTGAAAACACTACCCGGGAGTCCTGGTTTTGGGCTTCCTCTGCACGGCACGCAGCCATCCTGTAAGGCTGGGCTCTAGAGCGAGTTATGTGATGTTGGTCAGGTCGAGCTTTTGAGAGGGAAGGGCCATGAGCCCCCAGGTGTGGGCAATTAGGCAGCAGAGAAGTGTGACTCACGAGGGCAGAATGAGGTACGAAGGCCCCAGTTTCAAGATCATAGCAGGGACGGGGAACCTTCCTGCTTATTAAGGATATGTGGAAACCCCAAGATAGTACAACTCAGCTGGCAGGTGAGCCATCCCCATGAAACCCAGAGAACACAACCCCTGCAGAGATGAAGGAGCCCAAACAGCAGGTCCCTCCTGCTCAAACGAGGCTGGGCCATGCCTGCTGGCAGAGGCATGGGGGTGGCTGGAACCCTGGGAACCCCCACCCCCAGCAGGGGCAGGTCTGGACCTGCTATGGCTCCTGGGACCCAGCATCATCAACACCCTCTGCCATGCCTCCCCCAGGAGCCCCAACAGGTGAGAGCAGGGAATGCTCGGGCACTAAGTGAGAAAGGACACTAGGCCCAATGAGCGTGTCCCGTTCTTCTCTCTCTGGGCCCAGGCTGGTGCCAAAGGTCAGCTCCCTCCGTCCCTCCCTTTTCTTTGATTGGGACAACGCTAATCCATGTGCTCAAAGGAAGACACGTTTCTATCTCCGCTGACTCATCTGTAGGCTACTAGTGGGCAAGGAGACAGTGGGAGGGCCAGGACCCCTGGGGATCTTGCTGTGGCCCACCCCCAGGTGCCCCCACCCCACGCAAGCTCCTCACCGCCTGCAGCTTCTCCGTCAGCTCCCGGCGTCGGTTCCGGCACTTGGCTGCAGCCAGCTTGTTCCTCTCCCTCCGGATTCGACGCTTCTCTTCCTCTTCAGGAGACAGCTAGAGGCCAAGGTCGGGGGTATGATTAGGTTCAGGTAAACGGTTCACCAGCTTTTTGGTTTGGTTTGGTTTTTTAAGTGCATTTTAAGTAGGGCAGGAAGCCCTTCTGGGACTGCGAAGGGGAGGAGGGAAGGCTAGGGGCACGTGGCCGGGCTCAGAGGTCCCTGAACATGCAGCTCACTGCTGTCTGTCCACCTGGGAGGTCATTTAGAGCCGAACCCACCCTGGAAGGTGATGTCCCGTGTTTGAAGGGAGAACAGGGCAGCAATGGGTCAGGGACAAACCAGCCCAGGCATGGTGGCAGCAGCTTTTGTCATGTCAGCCCTGATTTAGTGCCAAGGCCAGACGGGAGCTGGGACAGCTTTCCCCAGAGAATCCCCTCATGCCAGCCAGGCCTGGCCCCACCCACGTAAGCAGCTTCTTCTAAACCCTGGCTAATTACTCCGCCCCGTCACTCTGCCTGCTCGGCAAGCCTCATTATCCCCATTTAGTTAAGTAGCTGGGCCCAGAGTAAGAACCACCTGGGAGAATGTTCTGTTGCCAGAGCGAGGGTCAAGGATGCCATCTCCCATTCTCCTCTGCCGGCCCCGGAGTGCCAGCTGCTCACAGTTCAACCCGGATGACCCAGCAGTGTACCTGGCACGTTAAATCCTGCTGCCCATCACATCCACGTATTCAACAAACAAGCACCGTCTATGCGCCAGGCACAGTTTACAGGGATCGAGATTTATCAGAGAACCAAATGAATTAAAATCCGCCTGCAGAGCTCACAATCTAGCTCCTTACAGTGAGGCTGTTTAGGGACCTGTGACTCATGCCACGAAGCAAAAACTCTGCTCCACTAAGAAAGGCTGACACTCTGTTTACATAGAGCCCTTCCAGGGAGGGCTGTGACCCAATGCCCCTTGCAGGCAGAGGTGACATGAGGAGATGGCCATGGGCCGAGGCAGAACGCAATTCAAAAGGAAAGACCATCAATTCAGTTAGCAGACACTGAGGGCACACCTACTATGTGCCAAGTGCAGTACGAAGGGCTGAGGAGAGTCTGAGGGGACTAAGACCTGGGTCTTACCCTCTAGGGACACTTGGGGGAAACGCCAAAGCCACTTTTGGAAGTGATGAGAGACGCTGCCCCACTGAGGGATTCTCCTGGCCACCCTGTGAAGGAGGGACTACTCCTCTGGCCGGGCTCAGGTCACAGTCCCCAAGATGCTCCCTACAGCCCTGCAGATCTGTTGCTGTGATGTCCTGAACAGCAAAGTGAGGCACAGCATCGGAGAGGACAAACCCATCCCTGTCTACACTGAGGTGACCCCGTGGCCCCTCAGTGCCAGAGTCCTGTGTCTAAATTCTCCAAACACTGGCATGAAAATGTGCCACTCGACTGTTCAGACACGAAGTCTCTCTGAGGCCATTTGAGCACAGAGAAGCTCATTCTCAACTTTCAAATCCTCCCCTAGCAGTCAAGGTGTGGGGCTCGAAGGGACGCCTGGCAGGCTGGGGAGACCACCAGGGCCTCCTGGCACCTCAGGTCTCCGCCTCCCAGGCTTTCGGCTGGGCTGTGCCCCCGCCCATCTGTGTCTGACGTCCTGATTGTGCGCGCTCCTCCATGTCCTCTGCCACCCCGACCTCACTGGGATGAAGAACCAGGCCCCGCTTCCTTCTCTCACCAGCTCCTCTGTCACTGTGTCCCTTGGCCCCTGCAGCAGTCTCCAGGTGGGACGCACCCAGCAGTCTAGCAGACAACATCCCTGTGAGTCCTCAGGCCCCTCCCAAAAACCTGGTCTTAAGAGTCCACAGTTGAGTCCTGGCTCCGCTTTCTTCCTCAGACCCGTCCTTAATTACAGCCTCTGAAAACCTCCACTTCCCCGAGCGAGCGCCAAAGGCTCCACATTCTCTCTTCTGCGAGGTATCAGGCCAAGTGGGAGCAAAACACGGGTGTAACGTGTGTGTGGCCCTGGACAAACCACCAAACCTTCTGAGCCTCAGTTTTTCCATTCGCAAAGTGGGAGTCATAGGACCTGCCCTGCCTTCCACAAAGTGTTTGTGATGATCAGAGGGGGTGCAGTGTGAGAGCTCTCTCTGAAGGAGAAAGTGCTAGAAAGACATTTCCTCTCTGGTGCTTTTTCAGAGTCAGAAGAGTCCAAGCGGCCTGGAGACCCAGAGTCCACAGACTCGAAGGCACTGCTCGGTGCTAGAGTCAGCTGCCTGGCTGAGGTCACGGGGTAGCTTGGCTAAGGCCCTGAAGACTTGCTTCTCTTCACACTGTCTCAACCTGGGCCCAGCAGAGTTACCAAGGGAGCCTGAATTCAGGGTGCTCCTTGAGGCCCAGCTAGCTCCCTCACTCCCGCCGACCAGGGGCTGGTCGTGGTCCACTTTGGCCTCCCTTCCCCCTTGGCTGCTTCTGCACAACTTTTGGCCCCCCAATCAGCCTAGAAGTCTCATCCCTATCTGGTGAAGTGTGGGGCCACTTATGAGAGCTGTCAATATAGAAAGTGTTCAGGGGAGGTGACATCAACATGGTTACAGATGAGTGTGTCAGTACTAGTACCCACCCACAAACCACACACACCCTCCCCTCCCTGCCTCCTCAGTCACTGCCACTGGACTCAGAGGAAGCCTAGGGGCAGGCGCCAGAGCAGGGCGGTGAGGCACCAGGCCACCAGGCCGGCTCCTGGTAACAGGCCCCTCCCCCTGGGTGGAGGTCAGGAGGGTGGAAGTAAGCTTCAGGGACAAGACCCTGGGGCTAGCCACCCAAGAGCCAAGGTTCTAGGATGCTTCTGCCCAGGCCTCCTCCAAGCTGCAGGATGATTGTCTGAACTCCTAATTGACAATGAAGTGAAATAAAATGCTCCTGGCTCTCTCCCTCCCTCTCAAAAAAGGAAGGAAATTTTCCAGACAGATTGTCTTAGGGCACGCCTAGGCGGTGTGGTGGGAAAACCAGGGGCCTGGAGGTCAAAGGGGGTGGACGCCAGTCCTGGCTCTGCTGCTGACTTACTGTGTGACCCTGGCCAGGGCCCTTCTCCTTCCTGGGCCTCAGTTTCCTCATCTTTAAAGTGGGTGCAGAGGGAAAATTAGGAAAGCTGGTCTCTGAAGTCTTTTTCCAGATATAAACTTCTAAATTTGGAGTGAGCTAGGCCCAGAAAAGAATGAAGAGTGTTCAGCACATCTTGCTCTGTTCATCTGCTAGCCCCAAAGAGCCCCTCTCACAAGCCTGGCTGTCCCTAAGGGGTCACTTACATACAGGCAGAATCTAGCTCATCGGTGACTGTAAAGCTTGACCCCTTGGGCTCTCTGAAGGAAGTAGATTTATAAAGGACATTAATGTCACTGCTACTGCAATATTTACAACTGCAATGATGAAAAGCAACAGTGAGGGGGATATTGGCCACTTCCCCAGCGGCAGCCGTGAGCTGTATCTGTTACAGCATCTGTTACACACACCTCCCCAGGTCGCCCTGCCACAGGTCCCGCTGTTAACAAAACAAATCAGCCTGCAGCGCACACAAGGTCCAGCTCTGTCCTCAGAGGAATGGGGCCGCTGCAAAAGCTTCCAGTTCCTTGGAGAACAATCTTTGTACTTCTAAGTATCCTCAGGACTATTGGCAGTGGGTCCATGATAATCCACTGGGGACTTATGTTTAAAGGTCCGTGTATTGGAACGTTGTAGAGCCAGGGACCCCAGAGTGGAGGTGAACAGTGGGTGCAAGGGAGAGGGGTTCAAATGCTGAACCTGGAGCTCTCCAAGTTAACATTTCCTTTGAAAAAGGGTTTCCGCCGCTAAAGTATTTTGCCTTGCCTGGACTCACGGTGGCATGCTGCTGTAGGACGGACATGCACAGGGAGTCCAGGGAACTGGCTTCTGGTCTAGACTTCCCCGCTCACTTGCTGAGTGGCCCGGGGCAGGTGGGTCTGGGCTTTGGTTGTGTCATCTGTGAAGGGGGACAGATGGGGCACTTTGACGGCTCATTCCCCCCTTTCTGGCATCAGGGAGCCCATTGCTGCCCTGGCTCACTGTTGATGCAGACAATGGGCCTTTAGCATGTTGGGTGGATTCTGCCTAGAGAGCAGAGGCCCCGAAACTTTCTGGTGTCTCTCCCAGCCAGGCTGACTCCTTCTCAAAGCTGAGCCCCTTGAGAAAATAAAGGCTGATGTCTGACCTCCCACCCTCACTTCCAGGCAGCTAAAGCAGTTGAGCAGGCTCCAAGGACCCCAGAGTCACTACACTTCTGGAACATGCACTTGAAATGGGCTCCTGCTTTGAGCTGGAGGCCTGGGACACCAAGGAGGGATGTAAAGTACTGTTAGCGGTACCAGCTTAGAGTGTAACTCTTCAGGTGTGCTGGCTCTCTTGTCTGCACCGGACAGCGAGAGGCAGTTAAGGGCTACTCCCAAAAAGCTCCCAGCCAGGGTTCGCTGGCTGCTTGTCCTGTGACCCCTCCACCAAGGATCAGAGAAAGACAAAGACACTGCTGTAGGCAGGTCCTAGCAGGCTTCCATTTTGCTGACACCTCGCCACTCACTATGTGCTTTCCCACACATGACTGCATTCAAGTGGCAACAAGTCTTGTCTGGTAGGTACCATAATCCCCATTTTGCAGCTGAGGAAACTGAGACTCAGAGATTCTAAGGGACATGGGCGAGACGACAGAGCCAGGCCTGACCCTCAGGTCTTTAACTCTGCCTCCAGTGATGAAGGTCATGTACTCCTGGTCCCTAGCTCCCTTTTCTTCCCAGTGTACCCAGAACGTTGGCCCTGCTCCCCACCAGTCTGCAGAAAACCACGCTGTGTTATGAGTCCCTGAAAGCTACTGACGTGGCTTTTATGCTTATGTGAGGTACCTGTTCATCTCTCCTCCTGCGACCCACGGTGGTGCCAATGGTCTTGATCACTCCAGGTCTTGGGAGGGCCATGTGCCCAGGGACAGAGGCCAGGCCAGGCAGGGGGCTGTAGGGGTGTGAGCGAGGGTACGGGTTGGACATGGAGGTGATCACTGTGGGCTGCACCATCCACTGCAGGTCCTGGCTGGTTGTGATGGCGTTGATGGTGGGGATGAAGGCACTGCCCGAGCCAGGCATATCTACCCGGAATTTCTGAAATGAGAAAAACAGAATTGAGCCAATAGTTAACTGAGCAGAACAGGACAAGCAGAGCCAGGAGGCAAAAACCAGCAGAAAGCAGCGTCAGCACTTGGGGGACCAAGGTCAGTATGCTGGGTGGGCTTCCCTGGACAAGTCCTGTACATCCAAGAATCAGGGGAATCTTAACTATTCCCGGGGCTCCATGTCTGATTGGCTCCTTGACTGAGGTCCTGTGAACTCCATCCCTAGGGCTCAGCGAGAATGTGGTCACATCCCAAATGACTTCAAGGACAGATGTACTCCATAGCCGCTCACACTCAGCGGGCCCTCTCTGCATCCCTCCTGGTGGCCATGTCCACATGTGCAGAAGGGCAGGCCTCCCGCCTGGACCTCCTGAGCCTCTGGGCCACCTGCCAATTATTCCCCAGGGTACTGGCTCAGGACCCCTTGAGGAAATATGCACACCGATAGTTTTGGAGGAAAAAAATCACCAGGAGGCTTATTGTGCCTGCTTTTGTTACTTTCCAAACAGGCTTAGGATGGGGCTGTGACCCCATCAGAGACCAGGTCCATGCAAAGGTGCTCTCCGACCCATGAGACGGCAGAGTGATAGCATCTGGGGCCAGCCTTCTTCTTGCTGTCCTTGTCCTCCTCCTCGCCCTTCACCCCCATCTCGCCTGGGGCAGGCACGCTGTGTCTCTTCCTATCTACGCATCTATCTATCTGCATTCAGATGTGTGATGTGTCTGTGGGAAACTTTGGTGCCGCTAGCTCAGTCTTCCCCCTGCCTCTGAATTTAAGCCCAGACCACACTGCAGAGTTGTCTGGAACATGCTGCACGAGGCATTCTATTTAAAATATAAGATGATGACAGAGTACAAAGACTAAACTGAGCCGTCCCCCTCAGCAGCTGGGCTTGGCCTTTCTTCAGGGCGGCTACTAGAAGGGAGAGGAGGGAGAAAGGAAGGACCCCCCCACACACACACCCGCACTCCAAGATTTTCAGGGAAAAGCTCCCCCAGAGGAATCCTCATCCTCCGATGATTCCTGTTTCCCCAAAAAGGTTCTGCAAATCCTTTCTTCCCTAATTCGGTGGGTAAAATGACAATAACTAACACGTGCTGAGCGATTTATTAAACAGCAGGGACCATGGTAGTGTTTTACCTAGATTATCTCATCTCCCTCTGAGGTAAGAACTACTGTTAGCTCCATTTCAGAGGCAGAAATTTAGGCTGAGAGAGATGAACTTGTCTAAGGCCACTAAAAAGCAGTGGGTCAGGGTTCAAATCCAATTTATCCTGGTGAAGAGGCCAGAGCTCTCGCGGGGCTACACGAGCTTCTGTCGCTTTGCTTCCTTTGTCCTCAAAGTCCAGCCCCAACTGCTAGTATCGACCCCCACTGCCCTCAGACAGAGCATCCAGTCACCACTGCCAAGGGTCCCGACAGACCTTCCCTCTCACCCAGGAGACCCCATAGGTCTGTTTGACCCCAGATGAAATCCTGCTAGCATTAGCGTAGATGCTGTAGCACCGCACCCCGCTTCTGGCCCAACCAGGGCTAGAAGTATTAGCAGCAATGGCAGCTGCCACCACCATTGTCTTTGCCCCCGGTGACAGACGTCTAGGTTCCCATTGCATAAACAAAGTGAAGCTTAGAGTACCTCACTGCAGATGAGGCTGCTGAGGGCCCTTCCTCGCTCTCTCTCCTGCCGGCTTCCTGACCCAAGTCTGGGTGGTGGAACGGGGCTGTCTCACCTCCTAGACCACCCTGGGGCCCCAGGCCAAGGGCATTCAGTGGAGACAGTGATCCAGCACAATGGAGTCTGGGATTCCATGAGGGGAGCTGCCCAGTGCAATGGATTCAGTGTCACCTCAGAATGCAAAAACAACAGAGCTCGTTTATCAGGAGCTGACGGACAAGAAGGTGTATGTGTGTGTGTGTGAAAGAGAGAGAGAGAGAGAAACAGACAGACACTAATAAAATGGTGTGCATAAGTTGACTGAACAGATGTTAAGGAAAGTGTCATCTGTAGTTCCATTTGTCTGTTTTTGCTTTTGTTGCCTGTGTTTTTGGTGTCTTATCAAAGAAATCTCATATATATCAAAGAAAACAATCAACAGAGTGAAAAGGCAGCCTATGAAATAGGAGAAAATATTTGTGAATCTTCAAATATCTGATAGGGAATAAACATCTAGAATATATCAAGGGGGTTCGGCGGGCGGGGCAGAGGTAGGAGGTGAAGGGGAGGTTGGCAGGAAGTCAACATTGCACTTGGACTCCAGAGGCCTGGATTTAAGACCCTGGCAAATCACGGAGGACTCAGTTTCCCTGCCTGTAAAGGGGAATACTAACTCCAAACTCGCTGCACTGTCACGAGGATTAAATTAGTAGCTACTTGTAATCACAGGCTATAGGAGAACACTGGTGGCTCTCAACTCTGGCTGCACATTAGAATAGTCTGAGGAGCTTTCTAAAAACACCCGTGCTGGAGCCTGGCCATTAGAGTTCTAAAATAACTGGTTTTGAGTGGGGTTCTGATAATATATTAAAAAGAAACACACCCGAGGTGATTCTAGTGTACAGCCAGGGTTGAGAAATGCTGCTCCAAGCAACTGGAAGGTGGCATTGTCAACACCACCGCCAGCACCATTACCATCACGCCTCACCATTGTACCTATGCACTCTGCATGGGGTGGCTCCAGGGACAATTGCCGGCTTCCCACTCCTGGGAAGCACCCAACATTTTGATTCCATTTCTCTCCCTAAGTCAGGTTCTGGGTCTGAAGAACAGCCGAGGCATCCAGCACAATGGCTGAATGTGACCCTCCACCTCTGCCGGGAAACCGTCAGCTTTCCCATCAGGAAAGCACCCGAGAAACTCGCTCCTTATTCCGACCAGCAGAGCCCCTCTGTTTCTGCCAGAGGGAAGCAAGCAAAACCCTAAAGCAAAGCCTGGGGACGAAGATCCCTTAGGAATAAGTGGATGACTCTGAGCCCCTCTCAGGCCCTCCGGTCCACCGCTCTGTGGTGGCAGGTCTACAGAATGTGCTCCCCGGCCACCAGCCAGATCCCTTGCAGCAATGGCTTGGTCTAGACAAAACAAGACAGCAATAAAAGCAAGGCGGTCGGTAATGACTGCCTCCAAATGCACATACAACTTGTTTTAGAGGGAGGTAAAGCCATCTGGATAACACACTGGCTCTAAATGGCAAGGAAAACAATACCCCATCCCCAGAGGGGACTGGGGCTCTGATAAAGAAGGTTTTTGTCTCCAAGAGGAGGCTCTCTGAGACGGGCACACAAGTTTACGTGAGATTTGGCAGATGTGCCTTTTCTCACCTCCAGAAGGTATTATTCAGAAAGCAACACTGGGGGAGAGGAGATGAGGCGAGGAGTCTGTGGTCCCAGAAGAGAGCCTGGCATTCCTCTATGCCGACAGACCCAAGAATCAGTCAGATGTCATACTGAGGATAAATCATGGTTCTCGACAAATGGAGTAACACTGAACTCAAACTAAGATAGGATTTAGTGGCTGGCATTAGGGCGGTTTAATCCCTGCTGCAGCACCAGGTGGGTGCTGGGAGTGGGGTACAGAGGAGGTAACTATCCAGGCCCGCACTTGACTTCCCTGGGGCTCTCCTCCTCTAGGGACAGGATCAAAGATGCTGGATGGTTGTGTGGCCTTCTAACCTGGAGAAGCCTCCAAATGCTGTATTTAACTGTGCCATCCTGTCGACTTCTGGGTGGACAAGAATGCCGATAAAAGGACAAACTGGCCCCCCACCGACCTCTGGGAGAAAAGTCTGGCAAAGTTCTGCTGTAAAAGGCTGGACAGTAAATATTTTAGGCTTTGCGGGCCACGCCGTCTCTGTCGCTACTACTCCAATCTGCGTCGTAGCATAAATGCAGCCACAGACAATGTGTAAACAAATAGGCGGGCCTGGGTTCCCACTAAACCTTATTTATAAAAATACTGGGGATGCAGTTTGGCAACTCCTGTCCTGGAGGAGCATTCTCATCTGCTATGCTCAGGCTTGGGGAAAAGCAAGAGAGAGAAGAAACAGCAAAAAATCAGACCTGAGGTATTCCTCCTACCTAGAGAGTCAGGGGGTGGGCTATCACTCATGGGCTTGAATCTCCAGGTCCTGAAGCTCGGGTGTGAACTCTTATAAGTCTCGTTGTGGGTCTTTGGGCATCAGAACCTCCTTTACCCTGCAGAACCCTGTATTTAAGGGAGCCATGGGGCTCAGGGTGTTCTCCTCCCAATGACTATGAGAGACAGCTCAGAACACATGGCCAATTTCATCAGACCAGAGGAGTTCCTGCAGCCCAACAGCTGATTTGGGAAAATGACTTTTCTGATCTGTACACAATGGTCTTGGGTTCAGACATGAGTTATCACCATGGCCTTCTGCAGAAGGGTCTTGGGACTAGGGTTTGGGCTCCCATTTCCTGCAGACATGGATGGGGCAGGGCTTAACCCCACAGATCCCTGAGCTGGGTGGAAATGGGATTTGAGATGGAAGTAATGGTTGTTGTTCTTGGACCATCCTCTTGGCCAAACATTTCTCCATCAGATTGATTTTCAACTGAACCACCAAGCACTTAAGGCATGAACCCCACGAATACCTGTGACCAGCCTCCGCAGGCAGGCAGGTATGATTATGCATGTCTGGGAAGGGTCTAGGCCCTTTCTCTTAAAAACAACCCCTTCCCCCACTTTTTTTTTTAAAAAAGAACTCTCAGCACTGGAAAAGGAAAATTCCAACATCCCCGGAGACTGGATCAGGGGAAGAAGAAAGATTAAGTGCAAATACTCCCCCATGCTCCCCAGAACCCCCCTGGTGGGGCCCGGTTTGACGCAAATGTTCTATATTTTTATTGAGCTTGGGATGTTCTCCAAAGCCTTCTTTATGGAATTCAACCAGTCTTCACAGATTCTGCATTGGACGTAATTTTGACCTTTAATTGCTATCTAAGGAAAGCCACTTACGTCACCATGGAAATGGTTGCTAATAACTCATGATTTCTCCCCATTTTACAGTCTACAAACACTGTCTCAGGTAATAACCCGCCTCCTTTAACTTCCTCTTTTTCCCAAGTCCACTTGTAAGAACCACGCTCTTTTTCACATCGCTGCCACAGTGAAGAAAGTCGGGGGGTCAGGGGGTCGGGGGGCGGCGGAGCAAGGAAAGGAAGAAAGTGACGGACATGGGGTTATGCCCTCGGGTTCCCGTTTCTTTCCTTCCAGGGCCCCTCTGGCCAGAAACCCCAGTCCGAAGCACAGGGGAATTCTCTCCACTATTCTGTGGACCCCCTTGAGTACTCCCGCCAATCCTCAGACATATCTGTGCTCAATGGGAAGGTCATGCCGTCTCGTCTTCCCTACAACCACAGCAAGGTGAGTGTGGCCAAGTGGCTGCCACGTGACAGCGTGTGAGAGAGTGCTGGGTAAGAGAATTCTTGTATCTTCTCTCTCCAATCCAGCGAGTTAAAACAGGGATCAAGTTACCAAGTGAGGTTTGGAACAGACATATTTGCCTCAGATTTGCCTCAATCAGGGCAGCTGCCATCATTTTGAAAGGAGGTGGCCACCAAAAGACATCACATACAACATGAATGAGACACATTCACAAAGTAATGAGGCTACTTTTTTTTTTTTCTTTCTTTCAACAAGTAGACCAGAAAGTTAGCTTCCCATATCCTTATTTCTGTTTAACAACCTATGGTACAGATGGCAAAGGTGCCGGCTTCGGTGTGCCTTGTCCTGGTCACTGCCGTCTCAGGCAGACTCCTGAGATCGGGACCAACAGGACTCAGGGACAGACTCTATTTCGGACCCAGCCAGGTCACCTTATGTGTCTGACTTGGTTCCCTGTATGTCAAATCTTTCTCGATGACTTCCAAATATCAACTTCACCCTCAAAGGACAAAGATTTGTTAGCAGGGAGGATTTTCAAAAGAATTTGCTGAAGGCAATTCCAAGAGAGGCGTTGTAAAACCTTTCTGAGTCTGACTAATCATAGCCACAGCATTCAAATAAGTATTTAGTCTCCTCAAGGAATGATGATGAAGGGACAGCAGTGATTTGGATGTGTAAGTCCTGGCGTGTGTGTATTAAGATAGAAAAAGGGGGGGGGAAATGAGATTCCTAACTTTACACTCACCTGGGATAATCAGGCAGGCAGAAATAAAGTAATGGAAATGCACTCAGGGATTTGGATAAGAAAATTCAACTGCCACTCAGACAATACGTGACTGCTGTTTCACCCCAGTCACTTTGATGAGAAAGTGACGCTGACTTCCACCATCAAGAATCAGCGGAACAGACAAATTCCTGGGATAACATTTTGTTTGATCCTAATCTACAACATCTGTAAGATCAAGGTTTAAAAAAAAAAAAAAAAGACACCGGACCCTTAATATACACCTCCCGCCTTCCTCCCAGTTCTGAAGACCACCCCCTACCAAAACAACTCCCCATAGCCTAACACAAACATATCAGGAAAACAAGCCTTGGGAATTCGAAGACATTGTGCTGGCATCCTAATGAATAGACAGACATCAAAACAGGGAAAGAAAAAAGCACTCCTTTTCAAACCAGGTTTTATTTAGAACAAAGGAACATTTTTTAAAAAATGTATTCAAAGTCAAGCAGTTCCTAGTTAACCGCTGTTAAATGTATGGCATTTATTTGTCCTGAACTAAAAAGAAAAAATTCTAAGAATTCTGAAAACTCACCAAGTTAGCACTCTCTGGGGCTGGAAAAATACATTCCCCAGATGGTTCTTCTCAGAATGTCCTGTAGGGGGCACTAGAGAGGTATGATTGGGGCTGACTTGGGAATCACAGTCATTTCTGGTAAAAGTTCTTTGATGTGAGGAATGTCCCAGCCTGGTATAGTTGGCAAAAGTTCACTCCGGGAAATTTTGTATGTGTGTGTGTTGTGTGTCTGTCTGTCTGTCTGTCTGTCTGTCTGTCTGTCTCTTGGGAAAGGGTGGTTGTTGAAGAGAGGTAGTCCGGTATTCCAAAAAGGAACTGTCCCTTGATTTATTTTCACAAGTTATCTAAGGAACAGACAAATGGCAGCCTTGGAAAACTGCTGGGTCTGTTTTTGTTTTGTTTTGTTTTTTCATGAAAAGGGGGCCCAGCTGATGAAAACAAGTTATGAAATGACCTATGTTTGTGTAACCGGCTGGATTGCGTAATGCTCAGGCCCTGAAACCGTAATCGACGAGCAGCCAGGCAGGGCATATATCTGGGAGGTGTTTTCCTAGGAAAGTCAGGAAAGAGAGAAAACAACAACACAAAGAAAAAGCCAGGAGGGGGAGGTGTGTGCAATGATTACTGACAAAACAAAATCACCAATGACCAACCTTTGAGATTAAAACTATAAGTGGAACAGGAAATATTTCTCATGCTTCAAGTTCCTGCCATATACAAGAACAGAGGTTTCAACAAAGGGTTATCTACCCTGCCCCCCCGCCCCCCCCCACGCCCCAAGTCACTGGAACTCATGGCCATGTGTTAAGATCAAGCTTTACTAAGCCTGAGAAAAGAGGAAAGTTCTGGGTTGAGTGAACAGCAATAAACATCAGGAATCTTAGACCCCATAAGGAGATCAGGAAAAAATAATATTCACTTGCCCAAGGAAAAACAGAGAACCTGCTTACACTGATTGGCCCACTGAGACACCATAAAGGAGGAAGGCCCATCACTAATTGCCAGGAAAGTCTCCCCATAAAGGAAGCTGAGGGAAATAAAGTGAATGTTTTCTCTGGTATATACTAAAGTTACCTTGAGTCCGAGACTGGGTGGGGTCGTCGCACAGACTTGTGAAGTTACAAAAGCCTCTCCAAGTCACTCCTTAGGACCACAGAAGAGCTTTGCTCAAAAGTAGAGAGATGATGGAAAAATCCTCCTCCCTCCTCCCTCCACCCCTCCCCCCAGTGGACAGGCTGAGAAACTTGTCTAAAGTGGCATTACCTTGCCAATCCCTCTGGTTTGAAAGGCGCCTCACTCAAGCTGCTGGGCCAAAGGGGCAGGCGTATATTCGAGAACCCCATGCACTAGTTATTACTAATTGCAAAATTCTCATGTGTTACAGCATGCTAGGAATTAGCCAACAGCTGCTTTTTGCTTCGGTAATGAGGCCCCATTACACTCTGCTGGACTGAGTTCTCTTCCTTCTTCCTAGCACTGGTTTCCTGTCTGATTTTCTTCCAAAGCAGGGAATTGCCTCTGCTTACATCCTGGGCTCAAAGCCCTAGTGACACAGATTATTCAACTGGGGCACTGATGTCCAGTATGACTTCCAATCCAGGCCCCAGGGTTTGAGCAAAGCCAGGCGGCAAGATTGTCATATTTCAATGATGACTGCCACAGAAAACGGCAGCCAAAGAATAGACAAGAAATCAAAATATCCCTTCTTGATGTGGGGAAGAGGAGAGGGACATTTGGGGATTTGCTGAATTGGAGAGTGAGGGACTGGGTATAACTGACTCCGACCCCTTGCCTAATGATGTTTGGATTCAATACGAACCATCAACTGGGCTAGAAAGCAAACGAAATCAAACACTTTTAGGAGATTTTAAACTCATCGTCTTGGTGCTCATTATTAAGGGTGCACTGACTGCACCCTCTACGCACAGACGACACTCTCTACCGTGAGTGCTTAAGGGGACAGAAGGGGAGATAGAGGGAAGACAGAAAAGCCATTTTGGGGACTCACCAGGTATGAGGAATTACTTTGGAACAAGGTGATTCAGATACAAAAGAGAACTGTGTTTCTATCTTGTTCTCTGGCTGGGTCCATCCCTCCCTGGAAGCCCACCCTGGCTGGCTTCTCGAGGCGGAAGCCAAGGCCACCACCTCAGGAGCAACTCTTGCTGCAGCCAACTTGTCTAGGGACTCCAAAGATCCTAAACGCTGCAGGCTTCAGGTCATAGTGGCCTTGTTGGCTCATAAGCCAACTCCCTAAGGAGCCTGGGGACTGGGGTGGGGGGCTGCTGTGGAGGGCAGGCACCCCACCAGCACCCTTCTGGTATTTATAGACACACAGATCACATGCACAGATCCCTCCAGTGCAAACCAGTCCGGCTGCTTTAGAAACAAGTTGTTTTTCTGCTTCCAGAACCACCCAGGAGCCTAAGCAAGGTCTGTCCCCCACTTCTCTCTGTAGGTGTCCTTGCTCCAGGGACCCCCAGACCCTCAAGCCACCCCTTCTGGTGGCAGTGCAGGTTCCTGCTCTGACCCCTAACAGGAGATGGATGGGCGCAGGGTACACAGGCGCCTCCTGGAGCCAATCAAGGCTGACCTCCCCCTTCCTGACCTTCGCACCTGATTCCCAGAGCCACAACCCTCACCCTCACTCCGGATTATTTGAAGGAGCCCAACCAACCTGTTTCACAAATTAACTTAGACTGACGAAGAAAGAGAGAGAGAGGGCTTTCCAGCCGGAATAGAGTCCTTGGATGTCGGGAGGGGCCAGTGGGTGCAATTTTTTTTTTGGTCTACCACGGAGAGAGGGAAAGGGGGTGGAGGATTCCTGGGTGAGGAGGTAACAGGCTTGGTGCTCAAGGAGCTTGTCCGGATAAGATGTCGTGTGAAGGAAAGGTTTTGTTGGCTTTCAAGCCCACTCCCTGCTCCAGTTAAAAAGTGGTGATGTGGGGAGGAGAGGATTGGTGGGCAGGACAAGAAAATTCAGAACTTACAATAGGGGCCCGTAGGAATTTTCTCGCCAAACCAAGAAAGGGAAAAGGAAGCAAAAGAGGCAGTGACGGCGAGAGGAGGGCGGGGGTCCGCCCATGCCGCCAGGTGCACCCGGGGCCCGCACCTACCTGCTGGCCGCCGCCGCCGCTGGAGTAGGACTCGGCGTGCGCAGGAGAGCCGCTGCTGCCCCGGGACGAGGTGTCAAAGTTCCCGGGATAATCCTGGTACATGATCCGCGGTGGGGGCCCGAGAGGAAACAGGGTGTTTTTCTTCCCCCGCCCTCGCCGCGGCCGCGCACCGGCTGCTGCGCGCTCGCTGCCTGCGGGCCGCGCCTGGGCTCTGGTCTCCGCTCTCGGGCTTCGCCCCGACCGCGGCAGGCGCGGACCGGGAGGCGGCGACACCGGGGAACGGTGCCCCCAGAGCGCCTCGCGCTGCACTTCTTCCCTGCTCTACGAGCGCGGCGGGACCGGCTGTCCACCCAGTCCCTCCCTCTAAAAAGTCGGCGCGTCCCTCGGTCCCTCCCCTGCGCTCGCCCTCCCGCCCCCGCGCGCAGCTGGAGCCCAGCCGGGACCGCCGGCCCAATCAAAAATTGGAAATTAAAAAAGAAGAGGAGCCTGGCGAGTCACGCTTGCCAGGTCTGGGGCCCCCCCCGATTTCAGGCAGGGCAAAAAACGCAAAAAGAAAGGCTGCCCGCTGGGAGAAACTTCTATTTCCTCCTTTTAGAAAAGGAGCTGAGAATAAACTTCCTGTGGCCGACACGCCGCCGGAGTTTCGGAGCGGCTCGGACACTTGACTAGGAAGAGGAGGCAGCCTGCGCCCGTCCCGCAGCCGGTGGAGTTCAAGCTGAGCTGGCGCCGAGAGGGACGCGGCCCCGCTCCCCGTGCCGCGGCTCCGGCGTCCGGACCTGCACCCCTTCCCCAGCGCCCGCTCACGGACGGGCCCGTCTCGCCGGTCCGCGCCTCTCTCTCTCTCTCTCTCTCTCTCTCTCTCCCTCTCTGTCCCTGCGGAGCGCCGCTCGCTTGCTCGCTGCTTTGCTCGGAGCCCCTGCGCTCTGCCCGAGATGAGTCACTACAATGGCACGAGTTCAACTCCACACTTATTCTCCAGCCCCTGTACCATGTGGATCCACTCACGTCAACCCGACTCCACCTTGCAGGGAGGAGCGCACGGGGAGGCGGAGGAAGGAGGCCCAAGAGGTGGAGGAGGTGGAGGAGGAGGTGGCGGCGGCGGCGGCGGCGGCGGCGCGGGAGGAGGCGGGCGCAGCGCTCCCCTCCAGGCCCCGGCTCTGGGCAGCGCTGACGCCAGCCGCACACCCGGCGCGAGGAAGGAAGGCTGTAGCGGGGGTGGGAGCAGCTGGCCGGCGCAGTTTGGGGGAGCCGAGGCAGCCCAGGTCCTGGCCTGCCCACCCCCCGGGCCCAGCGCCTTTGGTCTGTTCCATTGGCGCACGTTGCCAAAGATGGTCATTTGCGTTAGAGGACGCGAGTGCGGGTTCCCTCACTTTCGGGTGACGTGGAAGGAGAGGGATTCCCTCGCCGGCTCCAGAATGCGCCGCGGGCTCCCCTGCCCCCCATACACACGCCGCCCTGGGAAGGGGCGCGGGGCGGGGCCCCGAGAGTGGGCGCGCTGGC